GAGCCTCTCCTCCACTGAGCTCTATGACCCGTCACTTTCCCTCTCTCCACCAATGTCCACACTTATTAACAAGGGATGTGATTAGACTGGTACTTTCCAGAGCGATCCACGAGCTTCCTAAGGAAAGCTCTCTGGTGGAATGAGCCTCAAAAGGCCCTGCAGAGTCCCCTCCCAGAGACGCACAGCGACATCTCAAAGGCTGGAAGCGGATTTGCCGCAACGGGACATGAGGACTTAATTGTGTTGGTTGTGTTTTCTCATCTGACCCAGAACTTGCCTTCACACCAGCTGACCATGACCGCAGGTGGAACTGGTGACTTACACACTCTCGGGAGCCACTGCCTGGGACCAAGACACATGTGAGACCTTTAAAAAGGTTGAAGAGTGGTTAGAATTTACGAGAATAACTTTGAAATGCAGCCCATGGACACGGTCTAGAATTTAAAGCTGTGGCAAGAGGAATGTGAAGATGAGGATGGTAAAACAAAAGAAAACGGGCTGGGTCAGGTGCGGGCGCAGAGGCAGGGATGCCCTCCCAGGTCAGGAAAAAGCAACAACCTCGTGTCCTGTGGGCGAAGCTCTGGGGGGAGAAGGCGGAGGAGGCTTCCATCCCAAGGACAAGCCATTCGATAGAATTCTGTGTGTTGTTTAAAAGACCAAAGTGTGTAAAATAAGGCAAGCATTCTCCTTACTTGTCAACGTGATTACGGCAGGCCCTCCCCATGCTCACCGGCCAGTGAACACATCGCTTCCCCAAATAGAACAGGAGGAAACATCATCCACTGTGATGCACCCACGTCAGCATCAGAGAGCAAGAGACACTTGCTGAGAAAATGATGGGAACGGCTTCTTCTGGAAGAATCCCACAGGGCATATGTGCCCTTGGGATAGGCTGAGGTCAAAGGAAATAAGAATTTTAGTTCTGTAACAGGCGAAGTGCAGGATGGGCCCTACTGAGGCAGGTGTTGGGCGGGAGATCGGTCCTTCCAGTCTGGGAGGCCCTGCAGCAGCTGGGCACAGTGAGGCCGAGCCCTCAGCTCCCTCACACCAGCAGGAGCCTCCCACCCGGGCCTCTGCTCACCCTCGCCACCACGCCCTTCCTCCATAAGGCCTCCCTGGCCCACCTGAGCAGCAACCTCACCTCCTTTCTCCACAAAAGCAAAATCTCCCCGTCTCCATTCGCTCCTGACACACACAGCCTTGCTGGGCCAGTTTCACTGACCCTCTGGATATAAAACCAAACACAACCTCCTCCAGGGCCAGAAGCTTGCCTAACACTTGTGTATATCCAGAGCCCAGCATGCGGTCTTAGCCCTGGGAAGCAGCCCACACTCCGGGTGCAGTGACCCTCACGGAGAAGCCCAGCTCCTTCACCCACCTCCAGCTGTGGGCACGCTACATTCCCACAGACACTGCTGGGACTGGCTTTTCTGCAAAGAAACATTTAACTCCACTTTCTGCTAAAGCCAAGTCTCTACGGCTTAACATTAGCAACAATGGTGTTATTGTCCTTGCTCTTTCCAAGACCACTAGTTCACCAGCTGCTGAGAACAGAGGGAGGAAGGACGGCTGGGGGACGGGCGGCAAGACCCACCTCGCTGCCAAATGCATCGACTGTACGATCCGTAACTGGCGTAATCAAACGACCTAAGAAACAACTGATTACTAATTGCTATTATTAAGGATGTCAGCATTCCATGATTTTGCTGCTGATATATTATATACAAGTCAAGATGCTACTTGAATTCTTGATTGAAATAGAAAAATAGAGGCATTATGTTGTGTTTGGGGTGACGGTGTTTAAGCATCCAGAGGAAAGTTAAAGAAATACTAATTGGGGGTTTATTAAGAGATCTCACTAGCAGCATGTATAGGTGGGGAATTAATGTGGGTAAACATGCGACGGACACGTGCACACACGGAAATGGGGTCTGCTTGTGGAATTGGACTTCTCACCCGAGGCCGGATGCTGGGCACACTGTGACACACGGGCTGTATCCGCTGCTCCTCAAGTCAGACATCGTTCCTTGGGGAGGACGTATGGAGGGGGACACCACTCAGGACCAACCCAACAGCTGCCTGGAAGTTCCGTGAGCGCCCGCCTCAGAGAAATCCTACTCTAGCACGGGGACGGGAGCTGCATGTGGATGGCGGCTCTCAGACTGCTGCGAGGGAAGGTCCCTGCCTTACTAATTTTGCTGCTGATCTATTAGCTCTATGACTCCCTAT